TGTGTGTGTGTGTGTGTGTGTGTGTGTGTGTGTGTGTGTGTGTGTGTATGTGTATGTATATATATGAGAGACAACTGAAAAGTAAATATAAATGTTTGTAACTACAAAGTAGTTTAGTTCCCATGTATAGTTAATATTTTAAAGTTTTTTTTTATAGAGTTTTGGAAGAAAATGTCAATATGGAGATTACTGAATTGAAATTTCAAAGTAGATGAGAAAATTAGATTTTAAAGATGTATTATAAATGTAAAACTGTATCAGTTCATTGCTCTTATCTTACTTTTAAGATGTATTGGGAAGATATTAAATCAGAAAAAGGAAGAGGCTTCAGGTTTTTGGGTATAAAATGTTTTTAATCAAAGGATTTGGTGTTGTGAGGTTTAATGCCTGCACTCAGGTGGCAGAGGCAGGTGGCTCTCTTGAGTTTGAGGCCAGCTGGGTCTACAGAGGGAGTTCCAGCACAGTTAGACTATATAGTGAAACACTGTCTCTCAAAGCCAAAAAATAAAGAAGCAAAGGGCATGGAGAGATGGCTCTATGAATAACATGTTTTTTACTCATGCTTAACTCATGTTAAAACAAACAAAAACCAAGCATAATAGAGCATACTATGATTCCAGCCTCAGAATGGCAGGGAAAAGGGATTCCTACAGCTTGCTGGCCAACTCGTATAGTCTAATGAGTGAGGTCCATGTCAGAGATACTTTCTCAAAAAATAAGGAGACAAGCCTTCCTGAGGCATGAACTCAAGACTGTCCCCTCCCTCCATCTGCATGCACTCACACTCCACATGATTTAATGCTGAGGTCAGGAGTTACAGCCGTGAACAAATGAGCCAAGACTGAGCTGGACTGTCTGTATAGTCAAGGTGAATTCTCCATTCAGTTTCATAGCAATTCCTCACCAAACTGAGGAACTGTCTCCTAGAATTTGCTTTGGTATATGTTTCTGTGTATAGATAATTTCTTGCCAAAATTTGTAAGTTGGGATTTTCTTGTACTTAATATTTTGTTATTTCGTATTTAATAGATTAGGCTAGGATCTTGTATACAATTATAAAATAAAGTTCTCAAGTATTAGCGCGATGATTAGCTAAGAGCACATACTGCTCTTCCAGAGGACCTCAGCATGGCTCTGAGCTCCCAAGTTGTTCAGCTTACTACCATCTGTAATTCCAGTGTCAAAGAATCCAGTCTCTGAAGGAGGATACTTGCACACAAGTGGCCTTTACTCATGATGTCAAACACACTTCAATAAAAATAGTGATCTAAGCTATTCTGAAGGAAAAGTTGTAATTTTTCCTGTGTTTTGAATAAATCGATTTTCTCTAAGTCCATTGATTTTATTTTTTATCCTTCACACTATATTTTAAACCTATTTAGTGGAAGAAGTGCCTATGAGCACAGGGTTGACTCTTGGTGTTATATGCTCTGAGTCTGGACAATTGCATGATACAGAGCCACCATGGTCTAAGCATCATGGTGGTTTTTTCCTTAAAATCTGCTGTGCCTCCTGTTCATCTCCACCTCCACCCGTGCAAAGCCATCTTAAAATGAGGTCAATCATATCTACTTGAAACTAATTTCCTTTTTGATATTTCTGCTGCTGTTCTCAAACAGGATCAGAAGTTTTATAAGCATTACACCTGAATAAATCCATAAGCTTTCTGAGTACTTGAGCCCTGTACACTTGAGATTTAAAAGTTTTTTATATTTTTGCATTTTACCAGATACTCAACCCATTTTACAGATGGAGAACTAAATCAAGGACCATTTCAGTATCTGAGTGTCTTGGTTGCTTTGTGGTGCTGTGACAGGATATCTGAGACTAGGTAGTTAATGAAGTCCGTGTTCTTGTTCTAGAGGATGAGAGGTCATCTCCAGATGCTGCCATCTCTGTTGTCTCTGTGTTGAGTGCTGCTCTGCTTCTGAGGTAGCGTCTTGTTGCCTTCCCCGAAGGAGAAAAATGCTGTGTCTGTATATAGCAAAAGGATAGAAAGCAAAGGGAGTCACATTGCCTGTCAAGCGAGGCCTTTTATTAGGACATTAATCTATTCATTCACAAGGGGAAATCCTTATGACTTAAAATACTTTCCTGAAGTCCTGTCTCCTAATGTTGAGCTGGGTATCTGTAGTACATGGGGATTTGAGGGGACTGAAGTAAACCAAGCCACTGCTTTTGTGTCGTGCTGCTCTGAGCCTGGCGTGATGGCAACTATCAGTTGGGGTCTGATGTATAAGTACATTTGCATAGTGATTGAAACTATGGCTACTTTAATTTTTAAAGTTTTAAAGTTGGTAAGCTAGACCTGAAAAAAGACAGACTTGGGAAAGATGGGCCCAAGCCTGAATTAAGATCTTACTGAAGAGGTGTCTGGAGTCCACTAGATGGCAGATGGAGGTAACTATCTTGGCCATGCTGGATCTCATCTTTAGTCACTAGGCAAACAGCCATCTCCAAGGTGCAGGAAAGTTGTTGATGATCGTCTTGTGTTTTTTTTGTGTTTTGTTTTTCCTGTTGTTGTAGTAAGAGAGTCTGATGGAGGAAGGGTTATATTAGTTCCAAGTTCAAGGTAACATTCCTTGATGGCCAGAACATCAAGGCAGCAGAAGCTAAAGCAGCTAGTCAGATTGCAACCTACAATCAAAAGCCTGACAGCCATCAGTCTGCTGCCGGTGCTTAGTTTTCTTTTATTCAGTCCGGCATCCTCTGCTTAAAGATGGGCCTTTGTACATCAATTCAGATAATTTCTCGGAGGCATGCTCAGAAACCCATTTCTCAGATTCTAGATATTATTGAGTGAACCACAGTAACTAATCATCACTGTGTGTGTGTCTGTTTGTGGGGGGGGGGTGAAGGGGCATGCTGAGAAACATGGAGAGTGAACAGGAGCTGACCAGAGTCTGAGTGATACTCCTAACTAGCACTGGAAGCTGGTAAGGACAGCATGTTCTGGGAGAGAGATTGGGACAGAAGGTTCCCGGATGTCTTTATACCACACTTCCTTAACCATTAGTGTAGTTGGCAAAAATCAGTGGGGAAAGCGCTTCAGAATCTGTTTTCCCTGGAGGCCTTTTAAATGTCCACTAGTACAGTTGTTGATCAGGTTCCCGAGGGGCTTTGCTGAGAGAGAACATAAAATATCTCAGCTTTCTGCTTTGCTGTCTTCGTTTTGCAGCATATCCTAACATCCAGGAGTAGGGAATTATAAAAACGTCAGGTTACGTAGAAACACCGAAATACAGTGAAAAAGTTTGAGC